AAAGTGGCCTGGTCTCAGTTATCTGAAAAAAGTTGCAAGCGAGAATTTCATCATCGCGTGCGGCTGTGGTTGGCATCGTCCCCCAATCCTCCTGATGCCGGGGGTAAATGGGCGAAGTTTAGGACTGTGACTCATGCAGCTGCAATGGCTGCTTTGGCTACGCGGTCCAGATCTCCCCAGAGACCCTAGCTGACAGAGGAGGTGTTCAGCCTGGCTGAGAAAAAGCGACAGGCCCACTGTCATCGGCTACAGCATCCCACGTCAGAGAATGAGGAGGCTTACCGCTGCCTTCGCTCGGAGGTTCGGAGAGCCGCGAGGCGCTGCAAGGATGGGTGGTGGTCGCGGGTTGCTGAGGAGATGGAATCTGCCTCAGTGGCCAGCGATCACAAATCACTGTTTAATTCCATCAAAAAAGTAACCTGCAGCGCCACACCTATTACCATCATTAGGGAAAAGAACGGTGATCCAATCTCCAACCCCCAGGAACAGGTTTGCAGATTTTACGAGCATTTCTGTGAGATCCTGGGGGAAGGGAAATCCATCAGCCTGGAAAACATCGTGGCACAAAGTGGGGATGATTCTGTTGAGGCTGCGGCGCCTCAAATATTGGAAGAAGTCACCCCCTGTGAGTGGCTGGCTGAGGTGCCATCTGTTGAGGAAGTACTAAAGGCGATCCAGAGTCTGAGACCAGTAAAGGCACTGGGCAGAGATGATCTCCCAAGCGAAATGCTGAGGGAGGGTGGAGTTTGTGCACAGACTGCCCTATATGACATCATAACAACAGTCTAGACTACTGGACGGGTTCCGCAGGATGGGAAGGATGCCCTGGTGGTCCCCCTTTTTAAGAAGGGGGACCGCACAGACTGTAACAACTACAGTGGCATCTCACTCCTCAGTGTGCCTTGAAAGGTCCTGGCAATGATTATTCAACATTGCCTTGCTAGGCACGCTGAGGAGAGGCTTGCACAGCCCCAATGTGGTTATTGGAAAGGGCGGTCCTGCACAGATGCCATATTATTCTGGCTGTCTGCTTTATTGACCTGGTCAAGGCCTATGATACCATCAGTAGGCCTGGGCTCTGAGTTGTTCTTCGTGCTTTCGGAGTCCCTGACTCTCTGCTCACGATGATGTAAGGACCTTCATGATGGTGAGCGGGCCCGGGTAAAACTACGTGGCCGGGAGTCAGAGCCATTCCCTGTACACCTTGGGGTGTGACAGAGATGTCCTCTGAATCCCACATTATTTAACAAATATTTCGACCACGTAGTTCGTGAAGTTTTTGATGGCTGTACTGGAGGAATTTCCATCTGGTACAGATACAATGGGAGGCTGATTGATACCCGGGTGTGGTCAAGGGATGGCTCCCTATTGGTGAACCATGTCATGTATGCTAATGATCTGGTCATCGCTTCTCACTCAGAGGAGGAGTTGGAGGTGCTGCTGCTAAACCTGAAGCGTGCCACTAAAAGGTGGGGCCTTACCATCAGCCCCACCAAAACTAAGCACCTGCCTGGGTATTTTGTACCATCGGGCACTCCACCCCACAACTCCCAATTGGTGATGGGGCAGTTGTGGAGAGTTTCCCATACCTGGGCAGTGTGCTCATGACCGGCTCCGGTTTAACAGCAGAGGTCTCACGCCAAATCAGTCGAGCGGCAATATCTTTTCATTGTGTAACGCTGTGTGGAAGCTACCTGATCTGTCACTCCGCACTAAGCTTCGGGTCTTCTCGGCCACGGTTATTCCCTCCCTTCTCTACGCTTGTGAAACGTGGACCCCCTTATTGGAGCATCTTTGCCGGTTAGAAACATTCAGGCTGGCCTGCCTACGATCCATCCTGGGTTTAGCCAGGCTGGATTGTGTGAGGAGCTCACAAATCCTTGAAAGATCTGGACAAAGTCCAATCGGTGAGCTCCTCCGGCAGGCAAGGCTGCGATGGCTGGGTCATGTAGCCCGCATGCCCAGCCACCGCATTCGTAAACAGCTTTTGTTCGGCCGGATCGAGGGGGTTAAACGGGCGCGGCACGGGCTAGAGAAGAGATGGAGTGACGTGGTACAGGAGGACGTGGAGCTGAGTGGACTTGCCGATGACCGGTACCAGCGGTGTCAAGATCGGCCTGTGTGGAGGAGGCTCGTGAAGGACGCTACTGGGCAGTTGGAGGCAGTCGCCCTCCAACAACAACGGAGGGCGGAGGAGCGACGCTCACAACAACGAGCGGAGCGCCAGGTGGCTAAACATAGCAAGTTGACATAGCAGGGGGCACAGGTGGTGCATCAGCCAGTCATCTCAGTCAGTCGACCCGTGGCACCTGGGCCTGCCCCGTGACCTCCTGCCCGCGGGCGTTCGACACTTCACGTGGCCTCAAGGTGCCCATAGCCTGGCACAAGCGTCGTGGTGACGTCACCACCACTTAGTGGCGAATGGCGGTTGTTGTTGTTGTTGAATGAGTGTGTTAATGAGTGTGAGAATGAGTGTGAGAATGAGTGTGAGAATAAGCGGTAGTGTAGCGGTTAGCGCTACGCTGCGCTATGAAACCGGCGACATGAGTTCGATCCCCGCTCACGGCCTACACCAGTGATAATTATCTGAACCGGTCCCGGGCCTCCCCTTGGTCGACTCAGCCTCAAATGAGTACCTGGTGCGATGTGTAAACATTGTCACTAGGGAGACAAAGGCGGCCGGGTGTGGTGCTGGCCACCCACCCCCTCGTGTACCGTTCCGGCCTTCATAGGTGCTCGCTAACAGCACTTGCCCCTACATTCTGTTAAGGCTATACGGGGGATCTCTGTCTTTGAACGAGTGTGAGAATGAGTGGAGTTTGTGTTCACCATCACCACCATCGTCACCACCACCACCGTCATTATCACCACCACCATCACCACCACCATCGTCGCCATCACCACCACCATCGTCACGATCACCACCTCCATCGTCATCATCACCGTCATCATCGTCATCACCACCACCACCATCGTCACCATCATCACCACAATCACCACCATCATCATCGTCACGATCACCACCACTATCGTCATCACCACCGTCACCATAACCACAACCACCGCCATCATCGCCATCATCATCATCGTCACCCATCACCACCACCATCATCACCACCATCGTCATCACCACCACCATCGTCACCACCACCTCCATCGTCACCATCACCACCGCCATCATCGCCATCATCATCGTCGTCGTCGTCACCACCATCATCTTCACCACCATCATCACCACCATCGTCACGATCACCACCGTCACCATGGTCACCATAACCACCACCGTCACCACCACCACAACCACCGCCATCATCGCCATCATCATCGTCGTCGTCGTCACCACCACCACCATCTTCACCACCATCGTCACGATCACCACCGTCACCATAACCACCACCATCGTCACCACCACCACCGCCATCATCGCCATCATCATCATCGTCACCACCACCACCATCTTCACCACCATCACGACCACCACCGCCACCACCACCACGTAGAAGGAGTCCTATAAATATTTGTGTATTCATCATCTGAGCACACACCACCGAGAGACAATCCAACACTGCCGTCCGTCGCTGTGCGTGAAGAGGCACAAAGGCAAAGCTCCCCCGTGTAGGCTTCGGCACGCACGCCCGGCCGCCTTTGTCTCCCCAGTGGCGATGATGGTCGCAGCGCAGCCGCCAGCGGGGGAGAGAGGGGCAGGGGAGAGGGGAGAGAGGGGCAGGGGAGAGGGGCAGGGGAGAGGGGCAGGGGAGAGGGGCAGGGGAGAGAGGGGCAGGGGAGGGGGGGGGGGAGAGGGAGGGGGAGAGGGGGGAGAGAGAGGCAGGGGAGAGGGGGGGAGAGAGGGGCAGGGGAGAGGGGGGCAGGGGAGAGGGGCAGGGGAGAGAGGGGCAGGGGAGAGGGGCAGGGGAGAGGGGGGGTGAGAGGGGCAGGGGAGGGGAGAGAGGGAGAGAGGGGGGGAGAGGGGCAGGGGAGAGGGGGGAGAGGCAGGGGTGAGGGGCAGGTGAGAGGGAGGGGGAGAGGGGGGAGAGGGGAGAGGGAGGAGGGGGAGAGGGACAGGAGAGAGAGACAGGAGAGAGAGAGACGTCTGTAGATGGAGGCTGATACAGGTGGCGCGGGAAGCTGGCCGTGCTGATGGGCCGTGGCAGTGGGGGTGTGTGCTGTGTGTACTGTGTATGTAGTGTGTGTGTGCTGTGTACTGTGTGTGTGCTGTGTGTACTGTGTGTGTACTGTGTGTACTGTGTACTGTGTGTGTGTGAGTGCTGTGTGTGTGTGTGAGTGCTGTGTGTGTGTGTACTGTGTGTGTACTGTGTGTGTGCTGTGTGTGCTGTGTGTACTGTGTGTGTGCTGTGTGTGTGTACTGTGTGTGTGCTGTGTGTGTGCTGTGTGTGCTGTGTGTACTGTGTGTGTACTGTGTGTGTGCTGTGTGTGTGCTGTGTGTGTGTGCTGTGTGTGGGCTGTGTGTGCTGTGTGCTGTGTGTGTACTCTGTGTGCTGTGTTGTGTGTACTGTGTGTGCTGTGTGTGTGCGTGCTGTGTGTACTGTGTGTGTGTACTGTGTTTACTGTGTGTACTGTGTGTGTACTAGTGTGTGTGTGTACTGTGTGTGCTGTGTGTGTGCGTGCTGTGTGTACTGTGTGTGCGTGCTGTGTGTACTATGTGTACTGTGTGTGTACTGTGTGTGTACTGTGTGTACTATGTGTACTGTGTGTGTACTGTGTGTGTACTGTGTTTACTGTGTGTACTGTGTGTGTACTAGTGTGTGTGTGTACTGTGTGTACTGTGTGTGTGTACTGTGTGTACTGTGTGTGTGTACTGTGTGTGTACTGTGTGTGTACTGTGTACTGTGTGTACTGTGTGTGTGTACTGTGTGTGTGTACTGTGTACTGTGTGTACTGTGTGTGTGTACTGTGTGTGTGTACTGTGTGTACTGTGTGTGTACTGTGTGTGTACTGTGTGTGTGTGTACTGTGTGTACTGTGTGTGTACTGTGTGTGTACTGTGTGTGTACTGTGTGTGCTGTGTGTACTGTGTGTGTGCTGTGTGTGCTGGCTATGGCCCCGCTGAGTATGGGCAGCCGAGGAACTCGACGCGCAGGACGATCGCCGTCTCCCACGTCTGTGGGTAGAGGCGGACGTAGCGAGCCAGCAGCGGCGGGGCCAGCACGCTGCGTGCATACGTGTGGTTGTCTCTGTTAGCCACGAACACCTGTACACAGTACACACACACAGTACACACACACACAGTACACACACAGTACACACACAGTACGTGTGGTTGTCTCTGTTAGCCACGAACACCTGTACATAGAGTACACACACAGTACACACATAGAGTACACACACAGTACACACACACAGTACGTGTGGTTGTCTCTGTTAGCCACGAACACCTGTACACAGTACACACACACAGTACACACACACACAGTACACACACACAGTATACACACACACACACAGTACGTGTGGTTGTCTCTGTTAGCCACGAACACCTGTACACAGTACACACACACAGTACACACACACACACAGTACACACACACGGTACACACACACACAGTACGTGTGGTTGTCTCTGTTAGCCACGAACACCTGTACACAGTACACACAGTACACACACAGAGTACACACAGTACACACAGTACGTGTGGTTGTCTCTGTTAGCCACGAACACCTGTACACGTTACACACATAGAGTACACACATAGAGTACACACAGTACGTGTGGTTGTCTCTGTTAGCCACGAACACCTGTACACAGTACACACAGTACACACATAGAGTACACACAGTACACACAGTACACACACACACAGTACACACACACAGTACACACACACACAGTACGTGTGGTTGTCTCTGTTAGCCACGAACACCTGTACACACACAGAGTACACACACATAGAGTACACACAGTACACACAGTACACACACAGTACACACACACAGTACACACACACACAGTACGTGTGGTTGTCTCTGTTAGCCACGAACACCTGTACACACACAGAGTACACACACATAGAGTACACACAGTACACACAGTACACACACAGTACACACACACAGTACACACACACACAGTACGTGTGGTTGTCTCTGTTAGCCACGAACACCTGTACACACACAGAGTACACACACATAGAGTACACACAGTACACACAGTACACACACAGTACACACACACAGTACACACACACACAGTACGTGTGGTTGTCTCTGTTAGCCACGAACACCTGTACACACATAGAGTACACACACTTAGAGTACACACACAGTACACACAGTACGTGTGGTTGTCTCTGTTAGCCACGAACACCTGTACACACAGTACACACATAGAGTACACACAGTACACACAGTACGTGTGGTTGTCTCTGTTAGCCACGAACACCTGTACACACATAGAGTACACACACAGTACACACAGTACACACACAGTACACACACTAGTACACACACAGTACACACACACTAGTACACACACACACAGTACGTGTGGTTGTCTCTGTTAGCCACGAACACCTGTACACACAGTACACACAGTACACACATAGAGTACACACAGTACACACACACACAGTACGTGTGGTTGTCTCTGTTAGCCACGAACACCTGTACACACAGTACACACACACAGTACACACACACAGTACACACACAGTACACACAGTACGTGTGGTTGTCTCTGTTAGCCACGAACACCTGTACACACACAGAGTACACACACACAGTACACACACACACTAGTACACACACAGTACACACACACAGTACACACACACACAGTACGTGTGGTTGTCTCTGTTAGCCACGAACACCTGTACACACACAGAGTACACACACACACAGTACACACACAGTACACACAGTACGTGTGGTTCTCTCTGTAAGCCACGAACACCTGTACACACACAGTACACACAGTACACACACAGTACACACAGTACACACACACAGTACGTGTGGTTGTCTCTGTTAGCCACGAACACCTGTACACACATAGTACACACACACATAGAGTACACACACACAGTACACACACACATAGAGTACACACACAGTACACACACACATAGAGTACACACACAGTACGTGTGGTTGTCTCTGTTAGCCACGAACACCTGTACACACATAGCACACACAGTACACACTAGTACACACACAGAGTACACACACACACACTAGTACACACACACAGTACACACACACAGTACACACAGTACACACACACACAGTACGTGTGGTTGTCCCTGTTAGCCACGAACACCTGTACACACATAGTAGTACACACACTAGTACACACACACACTAGTACACACACCCACGCTAGTACACACACACAGAGGAGGAGTTGGAGACGCTGCTGCTGAGACTGGAGCGTGCCACTAAGAGGTGGGGCCTTACCATCAGCCCCACCAAAACTAAGCACCTGCCTGGGTATTTTGTACCATCGGACACTCCGCCCCCACAACTCCCAATCGGTGATGGGGCAGTTGTGAAGAGAGTGAGGAGTTTCCCGTACCTGGGCAGTGTGCTTATGACTGGCTCCAGTTTAACAGCAGAGGTCTCACTCCGAATCAGTCGAGCGGCAATATCTTTTCATCGGTTGCGTAACGCTGTGTGGAAGCTACCTGGTCTGTCGCTCCGCACTAAGCTTCAGGTCTTCTCGGCCACGGTCATTCCCTCCCTTCTCTACGCTTGCGAAACGTGGACCCCCCTAATGGAACATCTTCGCCGGTTAGAAACATTTAGGCTGGCCTGCCTACGATCCATCCTGGGTTTAACAAGGCTGGATTGTGTGAGGAGCTCACAAATTCTTGAAAGATCTGGGCACGGTCCCATCGGTGAGCTCCTCCGGCAGGCAAGGCTGCGTTGGCTGGGTCATGTAGCCTGCATGCCCAGCCACCGCATGCCGAAACAGCTTTTGTTCGGCCGGATTGAGGGGGCTAAGCGGGCGCGGCACGGGCTAGAGAAGAGATGGAGTGATGTGGTACAGGAGGACGTGGAGCTGAGTGGACTTGCCGATGACTGGTACCAGCGGTGTCAAGATCGGCCTCTGTGGAGGAGGTTCGTGAAGGACGCTACTGGGCAGTTGGAGGCAGTCGCCCTCCAACAACAACCGGGGGCGGAGGAGCGACGCTCACAACAACGAGTGGAGCGCCGGGTAGCTAAAGCACAGAAGGTTGGCACAGTAGGGGGCACAGGTGGTGCATCAGCCAGTCATCTCAGTCAGACGACCCGTGGCACCTGGGTCTGCCCCGTGACCTCCTGCCAGCGGGCGTTCGACACTTCACGTGGCCTCAAGGTGCACATAGCCTGGCACAAGCGTCGTGGTGACGTCACGGCCACTTAGTGGCGAATGGCGGTTGTTGTTGTTGTGTACACTAGTGTGTGTGTGTGTGTACACACACACACACACTAGTGTGTGTGTGTGTGTACACTGTGTGTGTGTGTGTACACTGTGTGTGTGTACACTAGTGTGTGTGCACACGTGTGTACACTAGTGTGTGTGTACACGTGTGTACACTAGTGTGTGTGTACACGTGTGTACACTAGTGTGTGTGTACACGTGTGTACACTAGTGTGTGTGTACACTGTGTGTGTACACTGTGTGTGTGTGTACACTGTGTGTGTGTACACTGTTTCTGTACTAGTGTGTGTGTGTACACTAGTGTGTGTGTACACACTAGTGTGTGTGTACACTAGTGTGTGTGTGCACTAGTGTGTGTGTACACTAGTGTGTGTGTGTGTACACTGTGTGTGTACACTAGTGTGTGTACACTGTGTGTGTGTACACTGTGTGTGTGTGTACACTGTGTGTGTACACTAATTTGTGTGTACACTAGTGTGTGTGCACTGTGTGTGTGTACACTAGTGTGTGTGTACACTGTGTGTACACTGTGTGTATACTGTGTGTACACTGTGTGTGTGTACACTGTGTGTACACTAGTGTGTGTGTACACTAGTGTGTGTGTACACTGTGTGTGTGTACACTAGTGTGAGTGTACACTGTGTGTGTACACTGTGTGTACACTAGTGTGTGTGTGCACTGTGTGTACACTAGTGTGTGTGTGTACACTGTGTGTGTGTACACTGTGTGTGTGTACACTAGTGTGTGTGTACACTCTGTGTACACTGTGTGTGTACACTGTGTGTGTGTACACTGTGTGTGTGTGTACACTGTGTGTGTGTGTACTAGTGTGTGTGTACACTGTGTGTGTACACTGTGTGTGTACTAGTGTGTGTGTACACTGTGTGTGTGTGTGTACACTGTGTGCACACTTGTGTGTGTGTACACTGTATGGGTGTACTAGTGTGTGTACTAGTGTGTGTGTACTAGTGTGTGTGTGTGTACACTAGTGTGTGTGTGTACTAGTGTGTGTGTGTACACTGTGTGTGTACACTGTGTGTACACACTAGTGTACACTAGTGTGTGTGTGTACTAGTGTGTGTGTGTGTACCCTGTGGGCGTGTACACTAGTGTGTGTGTACTAGTGTGTGTACACTGTGTGTACACTAGTGTGTGTGTGTGTACACTGTGTGTGTACACTGTGTGTGTGTACTAGTGTGTGTGTGTGTGTACTCTGTGTGTGTGTACTAGTGTGTGTGTGTGTACACTGTGTGTGTGTGTGTACTACTGTGTGTGTGTACTATGTGTGTGTACACTAGTGTGTGTGTGTACTAGTGTGTGTGTGTGTGTACACTGTGTGTGTGTACACTGTGTGTGTACTAGTGTGTGTGTACTAGTGTGTGTGTGTGTACACTGTGTGTGTACACTAGTGTGTGTGTGTACTAGTGTGTGTGTGTACCCTGTGTGTATACTAGTGTGTGTGTGTACACTAGTATGTGTGTGTACTAGTGTGTGTGTACACTGTGTGTGTGTACCCTGTGTGTGTACACTGTGTGTGTGTACCCTGTGTGTGTACACTAGTGTGTGTGTGTGTGTGTACACTGTGTGTGTGTGTACTAGTGTGTGTGTGTACACTGTGTGTGTACACTGTGTGTGTACACTAGTTTGTGTGCACACTAGTGTGTGTGTGTACCCTGTGTGTGTACACTAGTGTGTACTAGTGTGTGTGTGTGCCCTGTGTGTGTACACTAGTGTGTGTACACTGTGTGTACACTAGTGTGTGTGTACTAGTGTGTGTGTGTACTAGTGTGTGTGTATGTACCCTGTGTGTGTACACTGTGTGTGTACACTGTGTGTACACTGTGTGTGTGTGTACTAGTGTGTGTGTGTACCCTGTGTGTGTACACTGTGTGTACTAGTGTGTGTGTGTACCCTGTGTGTGTACACTGTGTGTACACTGTGTGTGTACACTGTGTGTGTGTACACTGTGTGTGTGTACTAGTGTGTGTGTACTAGTGTGTGTATGTGTGTACCCTGTGTGTGTGTACACTGTGTGTGTGTGTACCCTGTGTGTGTACACTGTGTGTACACTGTGTGTGTACACTGTGTGTACACTGTGTGTGTGTGTACACTGTGTGTGTGTGTACACTGTGTGTGTGTGTACTAGTGTGTGTGTGTACCCTGTGTGTGTACACTGTGTGTACTAGTGTGTGTGTACCCTGTGTGTGTACACTGTGTGTACACTGTGTGTGTACACTGTGTGTGTGTACACTGTGTGTGTGTACTAGTGTGTGTGTGTGTACTAGTGTGTGTATGTGTGTACCCTGTGTGTGTGTACACTGTGTGTGTGTACCCTGTGTGTGTACACTGTGTGTGTGTGTACCCTGTGTGTGTGTACACTGTGTGTGTGTACACTAGTGTGTGTACTAGTGTGTGTACTAGTGTGTGTGTACACTGTGTGTGTGTGTACCCTGTGTGTGTGTACACTGTGTGTGTGTACACTAGTGTGTGTACTAGTGTGTGTGTATACTGTGTGTGTGTGTACCCTGTGTGTGTGTACTAGTGTGTGTGTGTACCCTGTGTGTGTACACTGTGTGTACACTAGTGTGTGTACACTAGTGTGTGTGTGTGTGTGTACCCTGTGTGTGTACACTGTGTGTACACTGTGTGTACACTGTGTGTGTGTACACTGTGTGTGTACCCTGTGTGTGTACCCTGTGTGTGTACACTAGTGTGTGTACACTGTGTGTGTGTACCCTGTGTGTACACTGTGTGTGTACTAGTGTGTGTGTACCCTGTGTGTGTGTGTACTAGTGTGTGTACACTGTGTGTGTACACTGTGTGTGTACTAGTGTGTGTACACTGTGTGTGTGTGTACACTGTGTGTGTGTACTAGTGTGTGTGTGTGTACCCTGTGTGTGTCCCCTGTGTGTGTACACTGTGTGTGTGTACACTGTGTGTACACTGTGTGTGTACACTAGTGTGTGTACCCTGTGTGTGTGTGTGTGTACCCTGTGTGTGTACACTGTGTGTGTACCCTGTGTGTGTACACTGTGTGTGTACTAGTGTGTGTGTACCCTGTGTGTGTACACTGTGTGTGTGTACTAGTGTGTGTGTACTAGTGTGTGTGTACACTGTGTGTGTACCCTGTGTGCGTGCCCCGACGTCTCCCTGTAGGCTGTCCACGCGGCGCCGTCTCCGCTGTAGAGCAGCGTGAAGGAGCGGACGAATTTGCTCGTCCCGCGCTCGCGAGCGCCTTGGCTCACGACTCCCGTCACCGTCGTGAGCCGCGCGAAGTCCACCTGGAGCCACTCGCCCACGGCGTTCCGCTGCGCGCGTGTGTACACGTGTGTGTGTGTGTACACGTGTGTGTGTGTGTACACGTGTGTGTGTGTACACGTGTGTGTGTGTACACGTGTGTGTGTGTGTACACGTGTGTGTGTGTGTGTACACGTGTGTGTGTGTACACGTGTGTGTGTACACGTGTGTGTGTACACGTGTGTGTACACGTGTGTGTGTGTACACGTGTGTGTGTGTGTACACGTGTGTGTGTATACACGTGTGTGCGTGTACACGTGCGTGTGTGTGTGTACACGTGTGTGTGTGTACACGTGTGTGTGTACACGTGTGTGTGTGTACACGTGTGTGTGTGTACACGTGCGTGTGTGTGTACACGTGTGTGTGTGTACACGTGTGTGTGTACACACACGTGTGTGTACACGTGTGTGTACACGTGTGTGTGTGTGTACACGTGTGTGTGTGTGTACACGTGTGTGTGTGTGTACACGTGTGTGTGTGTACACGTGTGTGTGTGTGTACACGTGTGTGTGTGTACACGTGTGTGTGTACACACACGTGTGTGTGTACACGTGTGTGTACACGTGTGTGTGTACACGTGTGTGTGTGTACACGTGTGTGTGTACACGTGTGTGTGTGTGTCAGTGTGTGTGTCAGTGTGTGTGTGTGTACACGTGTGTGTGTACACGTGTGTGTGTGTACACGTGTGTGTACACGTGTGTGTGTGTGTACACGTGTGTGTGTGTGTACACGTGTGTGTGTGTACACGTGTGTGTGTGTGTACACGTGTGTGTGTGTGTACACGTGTGTGTGTACACGTGTGTGTACACGTGCGTGTGTGTGTGTACACGTGTGTGTGTGTGTGTACACGTGTGTGTGTGTGTGTACACGTGTGTGTGTCAGTGTGTGTGTACACGTGTGTGTGTGTACACGTGTGTGTGTGTACACGTGTGTGTGTGTACACGTGCGTGTGTGTGTACACGTGTGTGTGTGTACACGTGTGTGTGTACACACACGTGTGTGTGTACACGTGTGTGTGTGTGTACACGTGTGTGTACACGTGTGTGTGTCGTGTGTCAATGTGTGTGTACACGTGTGTGTGTGTGTACACGTGTGTGTGTACACGTGTGTGTACACGTGTGTGTGTGTACACGTGTGTGTACACGTGTGTGTGTACACGTGTGTGTGTGTGTACACGTGTGTGTACACGTGTGTGTGTACACGTGTGTGTACACGTGTGTGTGTACACGTGTGTGTACACGTGTGTGTGTGTGTCAGTGTGTGTGTCAGTGTGTGTGTGTGTACACGTGTGTGTGTGTACACGTGTGTGTGTGTGTACACGTGTGTGTGTGTGTACACGTGGGAAGGCGGCGGGGGGAGAAACATCATCGTGTTAGGTAGCGTCGAAGACTCCGTGTGAGTCTGTGGGTCTCTGTGTGAGTCTATGGGTCTCTGTGTGAGTCTGTGGGTCTCTGTGTGAGTCTGTGGGTCTCTGTGTGAGTCTGTGGATCTCTGTGTGAGTCTGTGGGTCTCTGTGTGAGTCTGTGGGTCTCTGTGTGAGTCTGTGGGTCTCTGTGTGAGTCTGTGGGTCTCTGTGTGAGTCTGTGGGTCTCTGTGTGAGTCTGTGGGTCTCTGTGTGAGTCTGTGGGTCTCTGTGTGAGTCTATGGGTCTCTGTGTGAGTCTGTGGGTCTCTGTGTGAGTCTGTGGGTCTCTGTGTGAGTCTGTGGATCTCTGTGTGAGTCTGTGGGTCTCTGTGTGAGTCTGTGGGTCTCTGTGTGAGTCTGTGGGTCTCTGTGTGAGTCTGTGGGTCTCTGTGTGAGTCTGTGGGTCTCTGTGTGAGTCTGTGGGTCTCTGTGTGAGTCTGTGGGTCTCTGTGTGAGTCTGTGGGTCTCTGTGTGAGTCTATGGGTCTCTGTGTGAGTCTGTGGGTCTCTGTGTAAGGCTGTGGGTCTCTGTGTGAGTCTGTGGGTCTCTGTGTGAGTCTGTGGGTCTCTGTGTGAGTCTGTGGGTCTCTGTGTGAGTCTGTGGGTCTCTGTGTGAGTCTGTGGGTCTCTGTGTGAGTCTGTGGGTCTCTGTGTGAGTCTGTGGGTCTCTGTGTGAGTCTGTGGGTCTCTGTGTAAGGCTGTGGGTCTCTGTGTGAGTCTGTGGGTTTCTGTCTACAGAGTCTGTGGGTCTCTGTGTGAGTCTGTGGGTCTCTGTGTAAGGCTGTGGGTCTCTGTGTGAGTCTGTGGGTCTCTGTGTGAGTCTGTGGGTCTCTGTGTAAGGCTGTGGGTCTCTGTGTGAGTCTGTGGGTCTCTATGTGAGTCTGTGGGTCTCTGTGTGAGTCTGTGGGTCTCTTTGTGAGTCTGTGGGTCTCTGTGTGAGTCTGTGGGTCTCTGTGTGAGTCTGTGGGTCTCTGTGTGAGTCTGTGGGTCTCTGTGTGAGTCTATGGATCTCTGTGTGAGTGTATGGATCTCTGTGTGAGTCTATGGGTCTCTGTGTGAGTCTGTGGGTCTCTGTGTGAGTCTATGGGTCTCTGTGTGAGTCTAGGGGTCTCTGTGTGAGTCTATGGGTCTCTGTGTGAGTCTATGGGTCTCTGTGTGAGTCTATGGGTCTCTGTGTGAGTCTGTGGGTCTCTGTGTGTGAGTCTGTGGGTCTCTGTGTGAGTCTATGGGTCTCTGTGTGAGTCTGTGGGTCTCTGTGTGAGTCTGTGGGTCTCTGTGTGAGTCTGTGGGTCTCTGTGTGAGTCTGTGGGTCTCTGTGTGAGTCTATGGGTCTCTGTGTGAGTCTATGGGTCTCTGTGTGAGTCTGTGGGTCTCTGTGTGAGTCTGTGAGTCTCTGTGTGAGTCTGTGGGTCTCTGTGTGAGTCTGTGGGTCTCTGTGTGAGTCTGTGGGTCTCTGTGTGAGTCTGTGGGTCTCTGTGTGAGTCTATGGGTCTCTGTGTGAGTCTATGGGTCTCTGTGTGAGTCTGTGGGTCTCTGTGTGAGTCTGTGAGTCTCTGTGTGAGTCTGTGGGTCTCTGTGTGAGTCTGTGGGTCTCTGTGTGAGTCTGTGGGTCTCTGTGTGAGTCTGTGGGTCTCTGTGTGAGTCTATGGGTCTCTGTGTAAGTCTATGGGTCTCCGTGTGAGTCTATGGGTCTCTTTGTGAGTCTATGGTTATCTGTGTGAGTCTGTGGGTCTCTGTGTGAGTCTGTGGGTCTCTGTGTGAGTCTGTGGGTCTCTGTGTGAGTCTATGGGTCTCTGTGTGAGTCTGTGGGTCTCTGTGTGAGTCTGTGAGTCTCTGTGTGAGTCTGTGGGTCTCTGTGTGAGTCTGTGGGTCTCTGTGTGAGTCTGTGGGTCTCTGTGTGAGTCTGTGGGTCTCTGTCTGAGTCTATGGGTCTCTGTGTGAGTCTATGGGTCTCTGTGTGAGTCTGTGGGTCTCTGTGTGAGTCTGTGGGTCTCTGTGTGAGTCTGTGGGTCTCTGTGTGAGTCTGTGGGTCTCTGTGTGAGTCTGTGGGTCTCTGTGTGAGTCTGTGGGTCTCTGTGTGAGTCTGTGGGTCTCTGTGTGAGTCTGTGGGTCTCTGTGTGAGTCTGTGGGTCTCTGTGTTAGTCTGTGGGTCTCTGTGTGAGTCTGTGTGTCTCTGTGTGAGTCTATGGGTCTCTGTGTGAGTCTGTGGGTCTCTGTGTGAGTCTGTGGGTCTCTGTGTGAGTCTGTGGGTCTCTGTGTAAGTCTGTGAGTCTCTGTGTGAGTCTGTGGGTCTCTGTGTGAGTCTGTGGGTCTCTGTGTGAGTCTGTGGGTCTCTGTGTGAGTCTGTGGGTCTCTGTGTGAGTCTGTGGGTCTCTGTGTGAGTCTGTGGGTCTCTGTGTGAGTCTGTGGGTCTCTGTGTGAGTCTGTGGGTCTCTGTGTGAGTCTGTGGGTCTCTGTGTGAGTCTGTGGGTCTCTGTGTGAGTCTGTGGGTCTCTGTGTTAGTCTGTGGGTCTCTGTGTTAGTCTGTGGGTCTCTGTGTGAGACTGTGGGTCTCTGTGTTAGTCTGTGGGTCTCTGTGTGAGTCTGTGGGTCTCTGTGTGAGTCTGTGGGTCTCTGTGTGAGTCTGTGGGTCTCTGTGTGAGTCTGTGGGTCTCTGTGTGAGTCTATGGGTCTCTGTGTGAGTCTATGGGTCTCTGTGTGAGTCTGTGGGTCTCTGTGTGAGTCTGTGGGTCTCTGTGTGAGTCTGTGGGTCTCTGTGTGAGTCTGTGGGTCTCTGTGTGAGTCTGTGGGTCTCTGTGTGAGTCTGTGGGTCTCTGTGTGAGTCTGTGGGTCTCTGTGTGAGTCTACGGGTCTCTGTGTGAGTCTGTGGGTCTCTGTGTGAGTCTGTGAGTCTCTGTGTGAGTCTATGGGTCTCTGTGTGAGTCTGTGGGTCTCTGTGTGAGTCTGTGGGTCTCTGTGTGAGTCTGTGGGTCTCTGTGTGAGTCTGTGGGTCTCTGTGTGAGTCTATGGGTCTCTGTGTGAGTCTATGGGCCTCTGTGTGAGTCTGTGGGTCTCTGTGTGAGTCTGTGGGTCTCCGTGTGAGTCTGTGGGTCTCTGTGTGAGTCTGTGGGTCTCTGTGTGAGTCTGTGGGTCTCTGTGTGAGTCTGTGGGTCTCTGTGTGAGTCTGTGGGTCTCTGTGTGAGTCTGTGGGTCTCTGTGTGAGTCTGTGGGTCTCTGTGTGAGTCTGTGGGTCTCTGTGTGAGTCTGTGGGTCTCTGTGTGAGTCTGTGGGTCTCTGTGTGAGTCTGTGGGTCTCTGTGTGAGTCTGTGGGTCTCTGTGTGAGTCTGTGGGTCTCTGTGTGAGTCTGTGGGTCTCTGTGTGAGTCTGTGGGTCTCTGTGTGAGTCTGTGGGTCTCTGTGTGAGTCTGTGGGTCTCTGTGTGAGTCTGTGGTTCTCTGTGTGAGTCTATGGGTCTCTGTGTGAGTCTGTGGGTCTCTGTGTGAGTCTGTGGGTCTCTGTGTGAGTCTATGGGTCTCTGTGTGAGTCTGTGCGTCTCTGTGTGAGTCTATGGGTCTCTGTGTGAGTCTGTGCGTCTCTGTGTAAGTCTATGGGTCTCTGTGTAAGTCTATGGGTCTCTGTGTGAGTCTGTGGGTCTCTGTGTGAGTCTGTGAGTCTCTGTGTGAGTCTGTGAGTCTCTGTGTGAGTCTGTGAGTCTCTGTGTGAGTCTGTGGGTCTCTGTGTGAGTCTGTGGGTCTCTGTGTGAGTCTGTGGGTCTCTGTGTGAGTCTGTGGGTCTCTGTGTGAGTCTGTGGGTCTCTGTGTGAGTCTGTGGGTCTCTGTGTGAGTCTGTGGGTCTCTGTGTGAGTCTGTGGGTCTCTGTGTGAGTCTGTGGGTCTCTGTGTGAGTCTGTGGGTCTCTGTGTGAGTCTGTGGGTCTCTGTGTAAGGCTGTGGGTCTCTGTGTGAGTCTGTGGGTCTCTGTGTGAGTCTGTGGGTCTCTGTGTGAGTCTGTGGGTCTCTGTGTGAGTCTGTGGGTCTCTGTGTGAGTCTGTGGGTCTCTGTGTGAGTCTGTGGGTCTCTGTGTGAGTCTGTGGGTCTCTGTGTAAGGCTGTGGGTCTCTGTGTGAGTCTGTGGGTCTCTGTGTGAGTCTGTGGGTCTCTGTGTGAGTCTGTGGGTCTCTGTGTGAGTCTGTGGGTCTCTGTGTGAGTCTGTGGGTCTCTGTGTGAGTCTGTGGGTCTCTGTGTAAGTCTGTGGGTCTCTGTGTGAGTCTGTGGGTCTCTGTGTGAGTCTGTGGGTCTCTGTGTGAGTCTGTGGGTCTCTGTGTGAGTCTGTGGGTCTCTGTGTGAGTCTGTGGGTCTCTGTGTGAGTCTGTGGGTCTCTGTGTGAGTCTGTGGGTCTCTGTGTGAGTCTGTGGGTCTCTGTGTGAGTCTGTGGGTCTCTGTGTGAGTCTGTGGGTCTCTGTGTGAGTCTGTGGTTCTCTGTGTGAGTCTATGGGTCTCTGTGTGAGTCAATGGGTCTCTGTGTGAGTCTGTGGGTCTCTGTGTGAGTCTATGGGTCTCTGTGTGAGTCTGTGCGTCTCTGCGTGAGTCTATGGGTCTCTGTGTGAGTCTGTGCGTCTCTGTGTAAGTCTATGGGTCTCTGTGTAAGTCTATGGGTCTCTGTGTGAGTCTGTGGGTCTCTGTGTGAGTCTATTGGTCTCTGTGTGAGTCTATGGATCTCTGTGTGAGTCTATGGGTCTCTGTGTGAGTCTACGGGTCTCTGTGTGAGTCTATGGGTCTCTGTGTGAGTCTATGGGTCTCTTTGCATCTCTATGGGTCTCTGTTTGAGGCTATGTGTTTCTGTGTGAGTCTATGGGTCTCTGTGTGAGTCTATGGGTCTCTGTGTGAGTCTATGTGTCTCTGTGTGAGTCTATGGGTCTCTGTGTGAGTCTGTGGGTCTCTGTGTGAGTCTATGGGTCTCTGTGTGAGTCTGTGGGTCTCTGTGTGAGTCTGTGGGTCTCTGTGTGAGTCTATGGGTCTCTGTGTGAGTCTATGGGTCTCTGTGTGAGTCTGTGGGTCTCTGTGTGAGTCTATGGGTCTCTGTGTGAGTCTACGGGTCTCTGTGTGAGTCTATGGGTCTCTGTGTGAGTCTATGGGTCTCTGTGTGAGTCTATGGGTCTCTGTGTGAGTCTGTGGGTCTCTGTGTGAGTCTATGGGTCTCTGTGTGAGTCTGTGCGTCTCTGTGTAAGTCTATGGGTCTCTGTGTAAGTCTATGGGTCTCTGTGTGAGTCTGTGGATCTCTGTGTGAGTCTATGGGTCTCTGTGTGAGTCTATGGATCTCTGTGTGAGTCTATGGGTCTCTGTGTGAGTCTACGGGTCTCTGTGTGAGTCTATGGGTCTCTGTGTGAGTCTATGGGTCTCTTTGCATCTCTATGGGTCTCTGTTTGAGTCTATGTGTTTCTGTGTGAGTCTATGGGTCTCTGTGTGAGTCTATGGGTCTCTGTGTGAGTCTATGTGTCTCTGTGTGAGTCTATGGGTCTCTGTGTAAGTCTATAGGTCTCTGTGTGAGTCTGTGGGTCTCCGTGTGAGTCTATGGGTTCTCTGTGTGAGTCTGTGGGTCTCCGTGTGAGTCTATGGGTCTCTGTGTAAGTCTATAGGTCTCTGTGTGAGTCTGTGGGTCTCTGTGTGAGTCTATGGGTCTTTGTGTGATTCTGTGTGTCTCTGTGTACAGAGTCTGTGGGTCTCTGTGTTTCTGCTGATGATGATGGTGATGCTGAAGATTCTGCTGCTGCTGATGATTCTGCTGATGATGCTTCTGCTTCTGTTACTGCCGATGATGCTGCTGATGATGATTCGCTGATGCTGCTGCTGATTATGATTCTGCTGCTGCTGCTTCTGCTGCTGCTGCTGCCGATGATGATGGTGATGATGATTCTGCTGCTGCCAATGATGATGATGATGATTCTGCTGATGCTACTGATGATGATGATTCTGCTGCTGCTGCCGATGATAATGATGATGATGATTCTGCTGCTGCTACTGATGATGATTCTGCTGCTGCCGATGATAATGATGATGATGATTCTGCTGCTGCTGCCGATGATGATGGTGATGATGATTCTGCTGCTGCTACCGATGATGATGATTCTGCTGCTGCTGCTACTGATGGGGGAGGGAGGAACGGGGTGGGGGTTGGTGGGTGGGCGTCATGGACCTTCGCCTGCCAGGCGTTCACCATCCCGCCGTTGTCCAGCCGGGCCTGGTGCGCCTCCCAGTTCCGTCCGAACCAGCCCTTCTTGTGAGACGACGCCGTGATCTGGTCGTCCCGGATCTCACCGCTCGCCATGCCCAGCTTGTGCCCGCACGCTGGGCATGGGGAGGGAGGGGGGGGCAGGGGAGGGAGGGAGAGACGCAGAGGGGAGTTGGAGCGCCGCGTCGAGACGGACGCTCACGAAACAAGCGGCGGCAAAATCTCGACTTGCATCGCCGGCAAAATCTCGACTTGCATCGCCGGCAAAATCTCGACTTGCATCGCCGGCAAAATCTCGACTTTCATCGCGGCAAAATCTCGACTTGCATCGCCGGCAAAATCTCGACTTGCATCGCCGGCAAAATCTCGACTTGCATCACCGACAAAATCTCGACTTGCATCGCCGGCAAAATCTCGACTTGCATCACCGGCAAAATCTCGACTTGCATCGCCGACAAAATCTCGACTTGCATCGCCGGCAAAATCTCGACTTGCATCGCCGGCAAAATCTCGACTTGCATCGCCGGCAAAATCTCGACTTGCATCGCCGACAAAATCTCGACTTGCATCGCCGGCAAAATCTCGACTTGCATCGCCGGCAAAATCTCGACTTGCATCGCCGGCAAAATCTCGACTTTCATCGCCGGCAAAATCTCGACTTGCATCGCCGGCAAAATCTCGACTTGCATCACCGGCAAAATCTCGACTTGCATCGCCGGCAAAATCTCGACTTGCATCACCGGCAAAATCTCGACTTGCATCGCCGACAAAATCTCGACTTGCATCACCGGCAAAATCTCGACTTGCATCGCCGGCAAAATCTCGACTTGCATCGCCGGCAAAATCTCGACTTGCATCGCCGACAAAATCTCGACTTGCATCGCCGGCAAAATCTCGACTTGCATCGCCGGCAAAATCTCGACTTGCATCGCCGACAAAATCTCGACTTGCATCGCCGGCAAATCTCGACTTTCATCGCCGACAAAATCTTGACTTGCATCGCCGGCAAAATCTCGACTTGCATCGCCGGCAAATCTCGACTTGCATCGCCGGCAAAATCTCGACTTTCATCACCGGCAAATCTCGACTTTCATCGCCGGCAAAGTCTCGACTTGCATCGCCGGCAAAATCTCGACTTGCATCGCCGACAAATCTCGACTTTCATCGCCGGCAAATCTCGACTTTCATCACCGAAAAATCTCGACTTTCATCGCCGACAAAATCTCGACATGCATCGCCGGCAAATCTCGACTTTCATCGCCGGCAAATCTCGACTTGCATCGCCGGCAAATCTCGACTTGCATCGCCGGCAAAATCTCGACTTGCATCGCCGGCAAATCTCGACTTTCATCGCCGACAAAATCTCGACTTGCATCGCCGGCAAATCTCGACTTTCATCGCCGGCAAATCTCGACTTGCATCGCCGGCAAATCTCGACTTGCATCGCCGGCAAATCTCGACTTGCATCGCCGGCTAAATCTCGACTTTCATCGCCGGCAAATCTCGACTTGCATCGCCGGCAAATCTCGACTTGCATCGCCGGCAAAATCTCGACTTTCATCGCCGGCAAATCTCGACTTTCATCGCCGGCAAATCTCGACTTTCATCGCCGACAAAATCTCGACTTTCATCGCCGGCAAATCTCGACTTGCATCGCCGGCAAAATCTCGACTTGCATCGCCGGCAAAATCTCGACTTGCATCGCCGACAAAATCTCGACTTTCATCACCGGCAAATCTCGACTTTCATCGCCGGCAAATCTCGACTTTCATCGCCGGCAAAATCTCGACTTTCATTGCCGGCAAATCTCGACTTTCATCGCCGGCAAATCTCGACTTTCATCGCCGACAAAATCTCGACTTTCATCGCCGGCAAATCTCGACTTGCATCGCCGGCAAAGTCTCGACTTTCATCGCCGGCAAATCTCGACTTTCATCGCCGGCAAAACCTCGACTTGCATCGCCGACAAAACTCGACTTTCATCGCCGGCAAATCTCGACTTTCATCGCCGGCAAAATCTCGACTTGCATCGCCGACAAAATCTCGACTTGCATCACCGGCAAATCTCGACTTGCATCGCCGACAAATCTCGACTTGCATCGCCGGCAAATCTCGACTTTCATCACCGGCAAATCTCGACTTGCATCGCCGACAAAATCTCGACTTGCATCGCCGGCAAAATCTCGACTTTCATCGCCGGCAAATCTCGACTTTCATCGCCGACAAAATCTCGACTTGCATCGCCGGCAAATCTCGACTTTCATCGCCGGCAAACTCGACTTTCATCGCCGACAAAATCTCGACTTTCATCGCCGGCAAATGTCGACTTGCATCGCCGGCAAAGTCTCGACTTGCATCGCCGGCAAAATCTCGACTTGCATCGCCGGCAAATCTCGACTTGCATCGCCGACAAAATCTCGACTTTCATCACCGGCAAATCTCGACTTGCATCGCCGACAAATCTCGACTTGCATCGCCGGCAAAATCTCGACTTTCATCGCCGGCAAACTCTACTTTCATCGCCGGCAAATCTCGACTTGCATCGCCGACAAATCTCGACTTGCATCGCCGGCAAATCTCGACTTTCATCACCGGCAAATCTCGACTTGCATCGCCGACAAAATCTCGACTTGCATCGCCGGCAAAATCTCGACTTTCATCGCCGGCAAATCTCGACTTTCATCGCCGGCAAATCTCGACTTTCATCGCCGACAAAAGCTCGACTTTCATCGCCGGCAAATCTCGACTTGCATCGCCGGCAAAGTCTCGACTTTCATCGCCGGCAAATCTCGACTTTCATCGCCGGCAAAATCTCGACTTACGTCGCCGACAAAATCTCGACTTTCATCGCCGGCAAATCTCGACTTTCATCGCCGGCAAATCTCGACTTTCATCGCCGGCAAAATCTCGACTTACGTCGCCGACAAAATCTCGACTTTCATCGCCGGCAAATCTCGACTTTCATCGCCGACAAAATCTCGACTTGCATCGCCGGCAAAATCTCGACTTTCATCGCCGGCAAAGTCTCGACTTTCATCGCCGGCAAATCTCGACTTTCATCGCCGGCAAAATCTCGACTTACGTCGCCGACAAAATCTCGACTTTCATCGCCGGCAAATCTCGACTTTCATCGCCGACAAAATCTCGACTTGCATCGCCGGCAAAATCTCGACTTTCATCGCCGCCAAATCTCGACTTGCATCGCCGACAAAATCTCGACTTGCATCGCCGACAAATCTCGACTTGCATCGCCGGCAAAGTCTCGACTTGCATCGCCGGCAAAATCTCGACTTGCATCGCCGACAAATCTCGACTTTCATCGCCGGCAAATCTCGACTTTCATCACCCACCGGTGGTGTGGACATCACCCACCGGTGGGTGACGTCCACACCACACCACCGGTGGGTGACGTCCACACCACACCACCGGTGGGTGACGTCCACACCACCGGTGACGTCCACACCACACCACCGGTGGGTGACGTCCACACCACCGCTACCCCGCCACTGGGGCCACACGAGCGTCTCACGCCGCTCACCTTGACCCCGAGGTGACCCCGAGGTGACCCTGAGCTGAACTCGATCCGACCTTGCCCTGACCGCACATCCCGAACTTGACCCTGACCACGACGTGACCACCCGCTTCCCCAACTTGACCCGTCCTCGCCTTGACCCCGACACGACCTTGATCCGACCTTGTCCTGACCCCAACCGGACCCTGACCTCAACGTGACCTCAACCTGACCCGTCCTTGCCTTGACCCCGACACGACCTTGACGCGACCTTGCCCTGACAGCCCGACCTGACCCTGACCTCGACGTGACCCAAACTTGACACATCCTCACCTTGACCCCGACACAACCTTGATCCGACCTTGCCCTGACCCCAACCTGACCTCGACGTCACCCCCAACCTGACCCATCCTCACCTTGACCCCGACACGACCTTGATCCGACCTTGCCCTGACCCCGACCTGACCTCGACGTCACCCCCAACCTGACCCACCCTCACCTTGACCCCCGACGCGACCTTGATCCGACCTTGCCCTGACCGCCCGACCCCGACCCCGACCTCGACATGACCCCCCACCCCCCGCCCCCCGAAACCTGACCCGGCCCTCGCCTCGACCCCGACACCCAAACCGACATTGACGTCAGCTCGACCTCCGACCTCCGACCCCTGACCCCTGACCCCCAGGCGGGGCCTCACCTTGCGCGTCGCAGCCGTAGACCTCCAGGCGCAGGCTGGGCCTGTTGATGAACCCCTTGGGGTAGATGCGGAGGTAGCGGGCAACGATGGGCGGGTCCAGGGCCACGTGGGCGTGCGATGACGAATCGTTGTTGGCGGGGATGAACTGTGGGGTGGGGTCACGCGGGGGTCACGTGGGGGTCACGCGGGGTGGGGGGTGGGGTGGGGGGGGGGTGGTCGTGGGGGTCAGGGAGGGTAGTGGGGGAGCGAGGGTAGAGGGGTTTGGAAGTTGGGAGGGGTCACGTGGGGGTCACGCGGGGTCACGCGGGGGTCGTAGGGGTCGTGGGGGTGGTGGTTGTGGTGATGGTGGTAGTAGTTATGATGGTGGTGGTAGTTGTGGTGATGGTGGTAGTAGTTGTGGTTGTGGTGATGGTGGTAGTAGTTGTGATGGTGGTGGTAGTTGTGATGGTGGTGGTGATGGTAGTTGTGGTGATGGTGGTAGCAGTTGTGATGGTGATGTTGGTGGTAGTTGTGGTTGTGGTGATGGTGGTAGTAGTTGTGATGGTGGTGATGGTAGTTGTGGATGTGGTGATGGTGGTAGTAGTTGTGATGATGGTGGTAGTTGTGGTTGTAGTGATGGTGGTGGTAGTTGTTGTGGTGGTGGTGGTAGTAGTTGTGGTTGTGGTGATGGTGGTAGTAGTTGTGATGGTGGTGATGGTAGTTGTGGTTGTGGTGGTAGTTGTGGTGATGGTGGTAGTTGTGGTGATAGTGGTAGTAGTTGTGATGGTGGTGGTGGTGGTAGTAGTTGTGATGGTGATGGTAGTTGTGGTTATGGTGATGGTGGTAGTAGTTGTGATGGTGGTGGTAGTTGTGGTTGTGGTGATGGTGGTAGTAGTTGTGATGGTGGTGGTAGTTGTGGTTGTGGTGATGGTGGTAGTAGTTGTGATGGTGGTGGTAGTTGTGGTTGTGGTGATGGTGGTAGTAGTTGTGGTGATGGTGGTAGTTGTGGTGATGGTGGTGGTAGTTGTGTTTGTGGTGATGGTGGTAGTAGTTGTGATGGTGGTGATGGTAGTTGTGGTTGTGGTGGTAGTAGTTGTGATGGTGATTGTGGTTGTGGTGATGATGGTGGTAGTTGTGGTGATGGTGGTGGTAGTTGTGGTTGTGGTGATGATGGTGGTAGTAGTTGTGATGGTGATGGTGGTGGTAGTTGTGATGGTGGTGATGGTGGTAGTAGTTGTGATGGTGATGGCAGTGGTAGTCGTGGTTGTGTTGGTGGTTGTTGTGGTTGTGGTGATGGTGGTAGTAGTTGTGGTTGTGGTGGTAGTTGTGATGGTGGTGGTGATGGTGGTAGTAGTTGTGGTTTTGGTGATGGTGGTAGTAGTTGTGGTTGTGGTGATGGTGGTAGTTGTGGTGATGGTGGTAGTAGTTGTGATGGTGATGGTGGTAGTAGTTGTGGTGATGGTAGTAGTTGTGATGGTGATGGTGGTGGTAGTTGTGGTTGTGTTGGTGGTTGTTGTGGTTGTGGTGATGGTGGTGGTAGTTGTGATGGTGATGGTGGTGGTAGTTGTTGTGGTGATGGTGGTGGTAGTTGTGATGGTGATGGTGGTGGTAGTTGTGGTTGTGGTGATGGTGGTAGTGGTTGTGGTGATGATGGTGGTAGTAGTTGTGATGGTGGTGGTAGTTGTGGTTGTGGTGATGATGGTGGTAGTTGTGGTGATGGTGGTAGTAGTTGTGATGGTGGTGGTGATGGTAGTAGTTGTGATGGTGATGGTGGTGGTAGTTGTGATGGTGGTGATGGTGGTAGTAGTTGTAATGGTGGTGGTGATGGTGGTAGTAGTTGTGATGGTGGTGGTGATGGTGGTAGTAGTTGTGATGGTGATGGTGGTGGTAGTTGTGATGGTGGTGATGGTGGTAGTAGTTGTGATGGTGATGGCAGTGGTAGTCGTGGTTGTGTTGGTGGTTGTTGTGGTTGTGGTGATGGTGGTGGTAGTTGTGGTTGTGGTGGTAGTTGTGATGGTGGTGGTGATGGTGGTAGTAGTTGTGATGGTGGTGGTGATGGTGGTAGTAGTTGTGATGGTGATGGTGGTGGTAGTTGTGATGGTGGTGATGGTGGTAGTAGTTGTGATGGTGATGGCAGTGGTAGTCGTGGTTGTGTTGGTGGTTGTGGTGATGGTGGTGGTAGTTGTGGTTGTGGTGGTAGTTGTGATGGTGGTGGTGATGGTGGTAGTAGTTGTGATGGTGATGGTAGTTGTGGTGGTGGTTATGGTGATGGTGGTAGTTGTGGTGATGGTGGTGGTAGTTGTGGTTGTGGTGATGGTGGTAGTAGTTGTGATGGTGGTGATGGTAGTTGTGGATGTGGTGATGGTGGTAGTAGTTGTGATGATGGTGGTAGTTGTGGTTGTAGTGATGGTGGTGGTAGTTGTTGTGGTGGTGGTGGTAGTAGTTGTGGTTGTGGTGATGGTGGTAGTAGTTGTGATGGTGGTGATGGTAGTTGTGGTTGTGGTGGTAGTTGTGGTGATGGTGGTAGTTGTGGTGATAGTGGTAGTAGTTGTGATGGTGGTGGTGGTGGTAGTAGTTGTGATGGTGATGGTAGTTGTGGTGATGGTGATGGTGGTAGTAGTTGTGATGGTGGTGGTAGTTGTGGTTGTGGTGATGGTGGTAGTAGTTGTGATGGTTGTGGTGATGGTGGTAGTAGTTGTGATGGTGGTGGTAGTTGTGGTTGTGGTGATGGTGGTAGTAGTTGTGGTGATGGTGGTAGTTGTGGTGATGGTGGTGGTAGTTGTGTTTGTGGTGATGGTGGTAGTAGTTGTGATGGTGGTGATGGTAGTTGTGGTTGTGGTGGTAGTAGTTGTGATGGTGATTGTGGTTGTGGTGATGATGGTGGTAGTTGTGGTGATGGTGGTGGTAGTTGTGGTTGTGGTGATGATGGTAGTAGTAGTTGTGATGGTGATGGTGGTGGTAGTTGTGATGGTGGTGATGGTGGTAGTAGTTGTGATGGTGATGGCAGTGGTAGTCGTGGTTGTGTTGGTGGTTGTTGTGGTTGTGGTGATGGTGGTAGTAGTTGTGGTTGTGGTGGTAGTTGTGATGGTGGTGGTGATGGTGGTAGTAGTTGTGGTTTTGGTGATGGTGGTAGTAGTTGTGGTTGTGGTGATGGTGGTAGTTGTGGTGATGGTGGTAGTAGTTGTGATGGTGATGGTGGTAGTAGTTGTGGTGATGGTGGTGGTAGTAGTTGTGATGGTGATGGTGGTGGTAGTTGTGGTTGTGTTGGTGGTTGTTGTGGTTGTGGTGATGGTGGTGGTAGTTGTGATGGTGATGGTGGTGGTAGTTGTTGTGGTGATGGTGGTGGTAGTTGTGATGGTGATGGTGGTGGTAGTTGTGGTTGTGGTGATGGTGGTAGTGGTTGTGGTGATGATGGTGGTAGTAGTTGTGATGGTGGTGGTAGTTGTGGTTGTGGTGATGATGGTGGTAGTTGTGGTGATGGTGGTAGTAGTTGTGATGGTGGTGGTGATGGTAGTAGTTGTGATGGTGATGGTGGTGGTAGTTGTGATGGTGGTGATGGTGGTAGTAGTTGTGATGGTGGTGGTGATGGTGGTAGTAGTTGTGATGGTGGTGGTGATGGTGGTAGTAGTTGTGATGGTGATGGTGGTGGTAGTTGTGATGGTGGTGATGGTGGTAGTAGTTGTGATGGTGATGGCAGTGGTAGTCGTGGTTGTGTTGGTGGTTGTTGTGGTTGTGGTGATGGTGGTAGTTGTGGTTGTGGTGGTAGTTGTGATGGTGGTGGTGATGGTGGTAGTAGTTGTGATGGTGGTGGTGATGGTGGTAGTAGTTGTGATGGTGATGGTGGTGGTAGTTGTGATGGTGGTGATGGTGGTAGTAGTTGTGATGGTGATGGCAGTGGTAGTCGTGGTTGTGTTGGTGGTTGTGGTGATGGTGGTGGTAGTTGTGGTTGTGGTGGTAGTTGTGATGGTGGTGGTGATGGTGGTAGTAGTTGTGATGGTGATGGTAGTTGTGGTGGTGGTTATGGTGATGGTGGTAGTTGTGGTGATGGTGGTGGTAGTTGTGGTTGTGGTGATGGTGGTAGTAGTTGTGATGGTGGTAGTTGTGGTTGTGGTGGTGATGGTGGTAGTAGTTGTGATGGTGGTGGTAGTTGTGGTTGTGGTGATGGTGGTGGTAGTTGTGATGGTGGTGGTGGTAGTTGTTGTGGTGATGGTGGTAGTAGTTGTGATGGTGATGGTGGTGGTAGTTGTGGTTGTGGTGATGGTGGTAGTAGTTGTGATGGTGGTGATGGTAGTTGTGGATGTGGTGATGGTGGTAGTAGTTGTGATGATGGTGGTAGTTGTGGTTGTAGTGATGGTGGTGGTAGTTGTTGTGGTGGTGGTGGTAGTAGTTGTGGTTGTGGTGATGGTGGTAGTAGTTGTGATGGTGGTGATGGTAGTTGTGGTTGTGGTGGTAGTTGTGGTGATGGTGGTAGTTGTGGTGATGGTGGTAGTAGTTGTGATGGTGGTGGTGGTGGTAGTAGTTGTGATGGTGATGGTAGTTGTGGTTATGGTGATGGTGGTAGTAGTTGTGATGGTGATGTTGGTGGTAGTTATGGTTGTGGTGATGGTGGTAGTAGTTGTGATGGTGGTGATGGTAGTTGTGGTGGTGGTGATGGTGGTAGTGGTTGTGGTGATGGTGGTGATGGTAGTTGTGGTTGTGGTGATGGTGGTAGTAGTTGTGATGGTGATGGCGGTGGTAGTTGTGATCGTTATGGTGATGGTGGTAGTAGTTGAGGCAATGGTCATGATGGTGGTAGTTATGGCAGTGGTGAGTGGTGAGCGGTGCGTGGTGAGTGGTGGTGAGTAGTGATTGGTGGTGAGTGGCGAGCGGTGGTGAGTGGTGAGTGGTGAGGAGTGGTGATGAGGAGTGGTGAGTGGTGAGTGGTGGTGAGTGGTGAGTGGTGGTGAGTGGTGAGGAGTGGTGAGTGGTGAGTGGTGGTGAGTGGTGAGGAGTGGTGAGGAGTGGTGAGTAGTGGTGAGTGGTGAGTGGTGGTGAGTGGTGAGTGGTGGTGAGTGGTGGTGAGTGGTGGTGAGTGGTGAGTGGTGGTGAGTGGTGAGTGGTGGTGAGCGGTGGTGAGTGGTGGTGAGCGGTGGTGAGTGTTAAGTGGTGGTGAGTGGTGGTGAGTGGTGAGGAGTGGTGAGTGGTGGTGAGTGGTGAGTGGTGGTGAGTGGTGAGTGGTGGTGAGCGGTGGTGAGTGGTGGTGAGCGGTGGTGAGTGTTGAGTGGTGGTGAGTGGTGAGTGGTGGTGAGTGGTGAGTGGTGAGTAGTGGTGAGGAGTGGTGAGTAGTGGTGAGGAGTGGTGAGCTCACCAGTAGCGGGCCCCCCGTTGCGTCTTGCGCTCTGTACGTGGTGGTGAGTGGTGGTGAGTGGTGGTGAGTGGTGGTGGTGAGTAGTGGTGAGGAGTGGTGAGTAGTGGTGAGGAGTGGTGAGCTCACCAGTAGCGGGCCCCCCGTTGCGTCTTGCGCTCTGTACGTGGTGGTGAGTGGTGGTGAGTGGTGGTGAGTGGTGAGGAGTGGTGAGTGGTGGTGAGTGGTGGTGAGTGAGGAGTGGTGAGTGGTGAGTGTTGGTGAGTGGTGGTGAGTGGTGGTGAGTGGTGAGTGGTGAGTGAGGAGTGGTGGTGGTGAGTGGTGAGTGGTGGTGAGTGGTGAGTGGTGAGGAGTGGTGAGTGGTGAGGAGTGGTGAGTGGTGAGTGGTGAGGAGTGGTGAGTGGTGAGTGTTGAGTGGTGAGTGGTGAGGAGTGGTGAGTGGTGAGTGGTGAGGAGTGGTGAGTGGTGGTGAGTGGTGGTGAGTGGTGAGGAGTGGTGAGGAGTGGTGAGGAGTGGTGGTGAGTGGTGAGGAGTGGTGAGCTCACCAGTAGCGGGCCCCCCGTTGCGTCTTGCGCTCTGTACGTGGTGGTGAGTGGTGGTGAGTGGTGGTGAGTGGTGGTGAGTGGTGAGGAGTGGTGAGGAGTGGTGAGGAGTGGTGAGTAGTGGTGAGGAGTGGTGAGCTCACCAGTAGCGGGCCCCCCGTTGCGTCTTGCGCTCTGTACGTGGTGGTGAGTGGTGGTGAGTGGTGGTGAGTGGTGAGGAGTGGTGAGTAGTGGTGAGGAGTGGTGAGGAGTGGTGAGGAGTGGTGAGGAGTGGTGAGCTCACCAGTAGCGGGCCCCCGTTGCGTCTTGCGCTCTGTACGTGGTGGTGAGTGGTGGTGAGTGGTGGTGAGTGGTGGTGGTGAGTAGTGGTGAGGAGTGGTGAGTAGTGGTGAGGAGTGGTGAGCTCACCAGTAGCGGGCCCCCCGTTGCGTCTTGCGCTCTGTACGTGGTGGTGAGTGGTGGTGAGTGGTGGTGAGTGGTGGTGAGTGGTGAGGAGTGGTGAGGAGTGGTGGTGAGTGGTGAGTGGTGGTGAGCTCACCAGTAGCGGGCCCCCCGTTGCGTCTTGCGCTCTGTACGTGGTGGTGAGTTGTGGTGAGTGGTGGTGAGTGGTGAGTGGTGGTGAGTGGTGAGTGGTGAGGAGTGGTGGTGAATGGTGGTGAGTGGTGATGAGGAGTGGTGAGGAGTGGTGAGCTCACCAGTAGCGGGCCCCCCCGTTGCGTCTTGCGCTCTGTACGTGGTGGTGAGTGGTGGTGAGTGAGGAGTGGTGAGTGGTGAGTGAGGAGTGGTGAGTAGTGGCGAGGAGTGGTGAGCTCACCAGTAGCGGGCCCCCCGTTGCGTCTTGCGCTCTGTACGTGGTGGTGAGTGGTGGTGAGTGGTGAGGAGTGGTGAGTAGTGGTGAGGAGTGGTGAGCTCACCAGTAGCGGGCCCCCCGTTGCGTCTTGCGCTCTGTACGTGGTGGTGAGTGGTGGTGAGTGGTGGTGAGTGGTGAGGAGTGGTGAGGAGTGGTGAGTAGTGGTGAGGAGTGGTGGTGAGTGGTGAGCTCACCAGTAGCGGGCCCCCCGTTGCGTCTTGCGCTCTGTACGTGGTGGTGAGTTGTGGTGAGTGGTGGTGAGTGGTGAGTGGTGGTGAGTGGTGAGTGGTGGTGAGTGGTGAGTGGTGGTGAGTGGTGGTGAGTGGTGAGTGATGGTGAGTGGTGAGGAGTGGTGAGGAGTGGTGAGGAGTGGTGAGCTCACCAGTAGCGGGCCCCCCGTTGCGTCTTGCGCTCTGTACGTGGTGGTGGGTGGTGGTGAGTGGTGGTGAGTGGTGAGTGGTGGTGAGTGGTGAGTGGTGGTGAGTGGTGGTGAGTGGTGAGTGATGGTGAGTGGTGAGGAGTGGTGAGGAGTGGTGAGGAGTGGTGAGCTCACCAGTAGCGGGCCCCCCGTTGCGTCTTGCGCTCTGTACGTGGTGGTGGGTGGTGGTGAGTGGTGGTGAGTGGTGGTGAGTTGTGGTGAGTGGTGGTGAGTGAGGAGTGGTGAGGAGTGGTGAGGAGTGGTGAGGAGTGGTGAGCTCACCAGTAGCGGGCCCCCCGTTGCGTCTTGCGCTCTGTACGTGGTGGTGAGTGGTGGTGAGTGGTGGTGAGTGGTGGTGAGTGGTGAGGAGTGGTGAGGAGTGGTGAGTAGTGGTGAGGAGTGGTGAGCTCACCAGTAGCGGGCCCCCCGTTGCGTCTTGCGCTCTGTACGTGGTGGTGAGTTGTGGTGAGTGGTGGTGAGTGAGGAGTGGTGAGTGGTGAGTGAGGAGTGGTGAGGAGTGGTGAGTAGTGGTGAGGAGTGGTGAGCTCACCAGTAGCGGGCCCCCCGTTGCGTCTTGCGCTCTGTACGTGGTGGTGAGTTGTGGTGAGTGGTGGTGAGTGAGGAGTGGTGAGGAGTGGTGGTGAGTGGTGGTGAGTGGTGATGAGGAGTGGTGAGGAGTGGTGAGCTCACCAGTAGCGGGCCCCCCGTTGCGTCTTGCGCTCTGTACGTGGTGGTGAGTGGTGGTGAGTGGTGGTGAGTGGTGAGGAGTGGTGAGTAGTGGTGAGGAGTGGTGAGGAGTGGTGAGGAGTGGTGAGTAGTGGTGAGGAGTGGTGAGCTCACCAGTAGCGGGCCCCCCGTTGCGTCTTGCGCTCTGTACGTGGTGGTGAGTGGTGGTGAGTGGTGGTGAGTGGTGGTGAGTGGTGGTGGTGAGTAGTGGTGAGGAGTGGTGAGTAGTGGTGAGGAGTGGTGAGCTCACCAGTAGCGGGCCCCCCGTTGCGTCTTGCGCTCTGTACGTGGTGGTGAGTGTTGGTGAGTGGTGGTGAGTGAGGAGTGGTGAGTGGTGAGTGTTGGTGAGTGGTGAGGAGTGGTGGTGAGTGGTGAGTAGTGGTGAGGAGTGGTGAGGAGTGGTGAGGAGTGGTGATGAGTAGTGGTGAGGAGTGGTGAGCTCACCAGTAGCGGGCCCCCCGTTGCGTCTTGCGCTCTGTACGCTCTCCAGCTGCGTCCGTCCCCGCTGGAAGCGAGCTCCACGGAGGTCACGAACTGCTTGCTGAGCCAGCGAGAGGCTCCCTGAGTCGTCACCTGGCTCACTGCGCTCACCCGCAGCAGGTCCACCTGGGGGGTGGGTGGTGGTCGTGTGGGTGGTGGTGGTGGTGGTGGTCCGGCAAAAACAACCCCCTACCTCCTCGTGGTGCCGGATGGCAAGGCTGTAACGGGCAGTGCCGTGGGGGGCGGAGGGCCAATTCCGATTGGCCATTCCCTCTCATGGCGTCTGTGACCACCACAGCGGCCAAACGGGGGCTCGGGATGGGTGCGAGTGGATGGTAACCCCTCCACATTCAATTAATTACCACTTAAACCACGTCTAAGATATCTAATGAACAAGCTTGTGCCAGAGGCCCCGGGGGGACAGGCGTCCATGACGTCTCCTGGCCAGACCCCATTTGGCAGAGCCAAAAGATTGAATATCTACCCTTGGGGCTCCTCGAGAAACAACGAAAAGCCACTTCGTGTGGCCACGTGGAATGTTCGAACGCTCAATGCGGAGGAGAGGCTGCCACTGCTCTGTCGGGAGCTGGACCGGTACCGCCTGGATCTCTGTGGCATTTAGGAGGTCCGGTGGACCGGTTCTGGCTCCTGCCACCATGAGGGGTGGACAGTCCTCTACTCGGGGCAGCAGACTGCCAAACAACAAGGCGTGGCTCTTCTTCTGAATAAAAGAATGAAGGGGGCGTGGGAGCGTGGCGGTGTGGTGTGGGAAACTGTAAGCCACAGGCTACTTTGGGCTCGCCTTCCCATCAACCGGAGGCGAGGAGTGGTGGTCGTGGTTACTTATGCCCCCACCCAAGACGAACATCCGTGGAGGGATGCAGGCAAAGCCGATGAGTCAGATGCCTTCTATGACTTCCTGTCCTTGACACAGTAGGTCCTGGTGTCCTTGACACCAGGACCTACTGTGGAGCTGATCTGCCCACTGACCATCGACTAGTCATCTGTAAGATGTGCCTGCCATTCTTCCACTCCAGTGGTGGGTGTACACCCAGGACCCCATTCAAACCCAAGGTGGCCTGGTCTCAGCTAGGTGATGAAAGTTTCAAGCGAGAATGTCATCATCGCTTGCTACTGGGGTTGGCATCGTCCCCCACTCCTCCAGATGTCGAGGGGAAATGGGCGAGGTTTAGGACTGTGGCTCATGCAGCTGCAATGGCTGCTTTTGGTACACAGTCCAGACCTCCCCAGAGTCCCTGGCTGACGGAGGAGGTGTTCAGGCTGGTTGAGAAAAAGCAACAGGCCCACTCTCATCGTCTACAGCATCCCACGTCAGAGAATGAGGAGGCTTACCGCAGCTTTTGCTTGGAGGTTCGGAGAGCCGTGAGGCGCTGCAAGGATGGGTGGTGGTCGCGGGTTGCTGAGGAGATGGAGTCTGCCTCAGTGGCCCGCGAACACAAATCACTATTTAACTCAATAAAAAAAAATTACCTGCAGCGCCACACCTATTACTATGATTTGCGAAACGTGGACCCCCCTAATGGAAAATCTTCGCCAGTCAGAAACATTTAGGTTGCCCTGCCTATGATCCACCCTGGGTTTAACCAGGCTGGATTGTGTGAGGAGCTCACAGATCTGGACAAAGTCCTAATCGGTGAGCTCCTCCGGCAGGCAAGGCTGCGTTGGCTGGGTTATGTAGCCCGCATGCCCAGCCACCGCATGCCTAAGCAGCTTTTGTTCGGCCGGATCGAGGGGGCTAAACGGGCGCAGTATGGGCTAGAGAAGAGATGGAGTGACGTGGTACAGGAGGACGTGGAGCTGAGTGGACTTGCCGATGACTGGTACCAGCGGTGTCAAGATCGGCCTCTGTGGAGGAGGCTCGTGAAGGACGCTACTGGGCAGTTGGAGGCATTCGCTCTCCAACAACAACGGAGGGCGGAGGAGCGACGCTCACAACAACGAACGGAGCGCCGGGTGGCTAAAGCACAGCAGGTTGGCACAGTAGGGGGCACAGGTGGTGCATCAGCCACTCATGTCAGTCATCTCAGTCAGTCGACCCGTGGCACCTGCTGGGTCTGCCCCGTGACCTCCTACCAGCGGGCGTTCGACACTTCACGTGGTAGCCTCAAGGTGCACATGGCCTGGCACAAGCGTCGTGGGGACGTCACCGCCACTTAGCGGCGAATGGCGGTTGTTGTTGTTGTTGTTGTTGCGGGTGGTGGTGTGGGTGGTGGTGGTGGTGGGTGGTGGTTGGGTCTTCACCTGTATCCAGGAGTCGACGAACGAGGAGGGGGTCCAGGCGTTGACGCGCCCACCCAGGTCGAGTCTCGCCTTCCATGGGGCCCACTCCTCTTCGCCTGCTGACACGGAGTGTGTGTGTCTCGTCCACCACTCAACCACCACTCAACCACCACTCAACCACTCATACACTCAACCACCACTCAACCACCACTCAACCACCACTCAACCACTCATACACTCAGCCACCACACAACCACTACTCATCCACCACTCAACCACCACTCAACCACTCACACACTCAGCCACCACTCAACCTACACTCAACCACCACTCAACCACCACCACAACCACTCATCCACTCAACCACTCATCCACCACCACAACCACCACACACTCAACCACCACACAACCTACACTCAACCACCACACAACCACCACTCAATCACCACTCATCCACCACTCAACCACCACTCAACCACTCATACACTCACACACTCAGCCACCACTCAACCTACACTCAACCACCACTCAACCACCACTCAACCACTCATCCACTACCACAACCACCACACACTCAACCAATACACAACCTACACTCAACCACCACACAACCACCACTCAACAAACACTCAACCACCACCACAACCACCACTCAACCACCACTCAACCACTCATACACTCAACCACCACTCAACCTACACTCAACCACCATACAACCACCACTCAACCATTCATACACTCAACCACCACTCATCCACCACCACAACCACCACTCAACCACCACTTAAACACTCATACACTCAGCCACCACTCAACCTACACTCAACCACCACACAAACACTCATACACTCAACCACCACTCAGCCAACACCACCACTCCACTACCACCTCCACTCCACCACCACCAATCCAACACGCCACCACTCCACCACCACCTCCACTCCACCACTCCACCACCACTCCACCACCACTCCACCACCACCACCATCACTCCACCACCACCTCCACTCCACCACTCCACGTCCACTCCACCACCACTACCACACAACCACTCATACACTCAGCCACCACTCAACTACCACTCAACCACCACTCCACCACCACCTCCACCACCACCACTCCAACACTCCACCACTCCACCACCTCCACTCCACCACTCCACCCCCACCACTCCACCACCCCCACGCCACCACCACCACCACTCCACCACCAGCACCACTCCACCACTCCACCACCACCACTCCACCACCACCACTCCACCACTCCACCACCACCTCCACCCCACCACCACTCCACCACCAACACCACTCCACCACTCCACCACCACCACTCCACCACTCCACCACCACTCCACCACCACCACTCCACCACTCCACCACCACTCCACCACCACCACTCCACCACCACCTCCACCCCACCACCACTCCACCACCACCACCACTCCACCACACCACACCACCACCACACCACCACCTCCACTCCACCACCAGCACCACTCCACCACCACCCCACCACCACCACCACCACCCCTGCACCTCGTCTCTCACCATCGTAGGAGGAGGCTGACAATTGGTTGTCCGTGATGAGGCCGGACTGCATGCCCAGTGGCTTGCCGCACTCTGGGGGGGCAGGGGCGGGGGGGGGGTCACGTGGGTGACAGCTACCCCACCCAGCTACCCCACCCAGCTACCCCACTCAGCTACCCCACTCAGCTACCCCGCTCAGCTACCTCGCTCAGCTACCCCACTCAGCTACCCCACTCAGCTACCCCACTCAGCTACCCCACTCAGCTACCCCGCTCAGCTACCTCGCTCAGCTACACCACTCAGCTACCCCACTCAGCTACCCCATTCAGCTACCCCACCCAGCTACCCCACCCAGCTACCCCACTCAGCTACCTCATTCAGCTACCCCACTCAGCTACCCCACTCAACTACCTCATTCAGCTACCCCACCCAGCTACCCCACTCAGCTACCCCATTCAGCTACCCCATTCAGCTACCCCATTCAACTACCCCACCCAGCTACCCCACTCAGCTACCCCACCCAGCTACCACACCCAGCTACCCCACTCAGCTACCCCATTCAGCTACCCCATTCAACTACCCCACCCAGCTACCCCACCCAGATACCCCATCCAGCTACCACACCCAGCTACCCCACTCAGCTACCCCACCCAGCTACCCCACTCAGCTACCCCATTCAGCTACCCCATTCAACTACCCCACCCAGCTACCCCACCCAGCTACCCCACTCAGCTACCCCACCCAGCTACCCCACTCAGCTACCCCATTCAGCTACCCCATTCAACTACCCCACCCAGCTACCCCACCCAGCTACCCCACTCAGCTACCCCACCCAGCTACCCCACCCAGCTACCCCACTCAGCTACCCCACCCAGCTACCCCACCCAGCTACCCCACTCAGCTACCCCGCTCAGCTACCTCGCTCAGCTACCCCACTCAGCTACCCTACTCAGCTACCCCACTCAGCTACCCCACTCAGCTACCCCACTCAGCTACCCCCGCTCAGCTACCTCGCTCAGCTACACCACTCAGCTACCCCACTCAGCTACCCCATTCAGCTACCCCACCCAGCTACCCCACCCAGCTACCCCACTCAGCTACCTCATTCAGCTACCCCACTCAGCTACCCCATTCAACTACCCCACCCAGCTACCCCACCCAGCTACCCCACTCAGCTACCCCATTCAGCTACCCCATTCAGCTACCCCATTCAACTACCCCACCCAGCTACCCCACTCAGCTACCCCACCCAGCTACCACACCCAGCTACCCCACTCAGCTACCCCATTCAGCTACCCCATTCAACTACCCCACCCAGCTACCCCACCCAGATACCCCACTCAGCTACCCCATCCAGCTACCACACCCAGCTACCCCACTCAGCTACCCCACCCAGCTACCCCACTCAGCTACCCCATTCAGCTACCCCATTCAACTACCCCACCCAGCTACCCCACCCAGCTACCCCACTCAGCTACCCCACCCAGCTACCCCACTCAGCTACCCCATTCAGCTACCCCATTCAACTACCCCACCCAGCTACCCCACCCAGCTACCCCACTCAGCTACCCCACCCAGCTACCCCACCCAGCTACCCCCCTCAGCAACCCCACCCAGCTACCCCACTCAGCTACCCCACTCAGCTACCTCACCCAGCTACCCCACTCAGCTACCCCACTCAACTACCCCACTCAGCTACCCCACCCAGCTACCCCACCCAGCTACCCCACTCAGCTACCCCACCCAGCTACCCCACTCAGCTACCCCACCCAGCTACCCCACTCAGCTACCCCACTCAGCTACCCCACCCAGCTACCCCACTCAGCTACCCCACCCAGCTACCCCACTCAGCTACCCCACCCAGCTACCCCACTCAGCTACCTCATTCAGCTACCCCACTCAGCTACCCCATTCAACTACCCCACCCAGCTACCCCACCCAGCTACCCCACTCAGCTACCCCATTCAGCTACCCCACTCAGCTACCCCATTCACCTACCCCACCCAGCTACCCCACTCAGCTACCCCACCCAGCTACCACACCCAGCTACCCCACTCAGCTACCCCATTCAGCTACCCCATTCAACTACCCCACCCAGCTACCCCACCCAGATACCCCACTCAGCTACCCCATCCAGCTACCACACCCAGCTACCCCACTCAGCTACCCCACCCAGCTACCCCACTCAGCTACCCCATTCAGCTACCCCATTCAACTACCCCACCCAGCTACCCCACCCAGCTACCCCACTCAGCTACCCCACCCAGCTACCCCACTCAGCTACCCCATTCAGCTACCCCAGTCAACTACCCCACCCAGCTACCCCACCCAGCTACCCCACTCAGCTACCCCACCCAGCTACCCCACTCAGCTACCCCACTCAGCTACCCCACCCAGCTACCCCACTCAGCTACCCCACTCAGCTACCTCACCCAGCTACCCCACTCAGCTACCCCACTCAACTACCCCACTCAGCTACCCCACCCAGCTACCCCACCCAGCTACCCCACTCAGCTACCCCACCCAGCTACCCCACTCAGCTACCCCACTCAGCTACCCCACCCAGCTACCCCACTCAGCTACCCCACCCAGCTACCCCACTCAGCTACCCCACTCAGCTACCTCACCCAGCTACCCCACTCAGCTACCCCACTCAACTACCCCACTCAGCTACCCCACCCAGCTACCCCACCCAGCTACCCCACTCAGCTACCCCACCCAGCTACCCCACTCAGCTACCCCACTCAGCTACCTCACCCAGCTACCCCACTCAGCTACCCCACTCAGCTACCCCACTCAGCTACCCCACTCAGCTACACCACCCTGTCCGAGCGAAGTGGGGAGCGATAGTGTAGTGGTTAGCGCTACGCTGCGCTATGAACCTGGCGACCCGGGTTCGATTCCCGCTCACGGCCAACACCAGTGACGATTATCTGAACCGGTCCCGGGCCTCCCCTAGGTCGACTCAGCCTCAAATGAGTACCTGGTGCGGTGTGTAAACATTGCCACTAGGGAGACAAAGGCGGTCGGGCGTGGTGCTGGCCACCCACCCCCTCGTGTACCGTTCTGGCCTTCATAGGTGCTCGCTAACAGCACTTGCCCCTACAGTCTGTTAAAGCTATATGGGGGATCTTTGTCTTTGTCTTTGTCTGTGTGTGTGTCTGTGTGTGTGTCTGTGTGTGTGTGTCTGTGTGTGTGTCTGTGTGTCTGTGTGTGTGTCTGTGTGTGTGTGTCTGTGTGTGTGTGTCAGTGTGTGTATGTGTGTGTGTGTCCGTGTGTGTGTCTGTGTGTGTGTGTGTCAGTGTGTGTGTCCGTGTGTGTGTCCGTGTGTGTGTCCGTGTGTGTGTCTGTCCACGCCTCTCACCCTGTCCGTCCAGCACGGTGTAGGTGATGGACATGCCCTGCGACGAGGTGGTGGACGAGGTGGACGAGGTGGACGAGGTGTGGACGAGCTCACAGTCCACCAGCCACTCGCCCACGTGGGCAGCGCGCATGTACAGCGTCCTGCCCAGACCTGCGTCCACCACCACCACCACCACAACAAAGACAAAGATCCCCTGTGTAGCCTCAACAGACTGTAGGGGCAAGTGCTGTGAGCGAACAGCACCTTTAAAAAGACAAAGCTCCCCCACGTAGCCTCAGCGGGCAGCCAGGGCAAGGGCCGACAGCGGGTACCGGGCACTCGCACGCAGGTTGGTGGGTGGATGAGTGGGTGGGTGAGTGGGTGAGTGGGTGGGTGAGTGGGTGGGTGAGTGAGTGGGTGAGTGAGTGGGTGGGTGGGTGAGTGGGTGGGTGAGTGGGTGAGTGAGTGAGTGGGTGAGTGAGTGGGTGGGTGGGTGAGTGGGTGGGTGAGTGGGTGAGTGAGTGAGTCGGTGAGTGGGTGAGTGGGTGGGTGGGTGAGTGGGTGGGTGAGTGGGTGGGTGGGTGAGTGGGTGAATGGGTGGGTGGGTGAGTGGGTGAGTGAGTGGGTGAGTGGGTGGGTGGGTGAGTGAGTGAGTGGGTGGGTGGGTGGGTGAGTGAGTGAGTGGGTGGGTGAGTGGGTGAATGGGTGGGTGCGTGAGTGGGTGAGTGGGTGAGTGAGTGGGTGGGTGAGTGAGTGGGTGGGTGAGTGAGTGGGTGAGTGGGTGGGTGAGTGAGTGGGTGGGTGAGTGGGTGAGTAAGTGGGTGAGTGAGTGGGTGAGTGGGTGGGTGAGTGGGTGAGTGAGTGGGTGAGTGGGTGGGTGGGTGAGTGAGTGAGTGGGTGGGTGGGTGGGTGAGTGAGTGAGTGGGTGGGTGAGTGGGTGAATGGGTGGGTGGGTGAGTGGGTGAGTGGGTGAGTGAGTGGGTGGGTGAGTGAGTGGGTGGGTGAGTGAGTGGGTGAGTGGGTGGGTGAGTGAGTGGGTGGGTGAGTGGGTGAGTAAGTGGGTGAGTAAGTGGGTGAGTGAGTGGGTGAGTGGGTGGGTGGGTAGGTGAGTGGGTGGGTGAGTGGGTGGGTGGGTGAGTGGGTGGGTGAGTGGGTGAGTGAGTGAGTGAGTGGGTGGGTGGGTGGGTGAGTGGGTGGGTGAGTGGGTGAGTGAGTGAGTGAGTGGGTGGGTGAGTGAGTGAGTGGGTGGGTGGGTGGGTGAATGGGTGGGTGGGTGAGTGAGTGGGTGAATGGGTGGGTGAGTGGGTGAGTGAGTGGGTGAGTGGGTGGGTGGGTGAGTGGGTGGGTGGGTGAGTGGGTGGGTGAGTGGGGGGGTAGGTGGGTGAGTAGGTGAGTGGGTGGGTGGGTGAGTGGGTGAATGGGTGAGTGGGTGAATGGGTGGATGGATGAGTGGGTGGGTGAGTGAGTGGGTGGGTGGGTGGATGGGTGAGTGGGTGAATGGGTGGGTGGGTGGGTGAGTGGGTGGGTGAGTGGGTGAGTGGGTGAGTGAATGGGAGGGTGGGTGGGTGGATGGGTGAGTGGGTGAATGGGTGAGTGGGTGAGTGGGTGAGTGAGTGGGTGGGTTGGGTGAGTGGGAGGGTGAGTGGGTGAGTGGGTGAGTGAGTGTCTGAGTGAGCGATCAGGTTAGTGAGCGAGTGAGTGAGCGAGTGAGTGAGCGAGCGAGCGAGCAATCAGGTGAGTGAGTGAGCGAGTGAGTGAGCGAGTGAGAGTGTGAGTGAGCGATCAGGTGAGTGAGCGAGTGAGTGAGTGAGTGAGCGAGCGAGCAATCAGGTGAGTGAGTGAGCGAGTGAGTGAGCGACTGAGTGAGTGAGCGAGTAAGTGAGTGAGGGAGCGAGTGAGAGTGTGAGTTAGCGATAAGGTGAGTGAGTGAGTGTGTGAGCGAGAAATCAGGTGAGTGAGTGAGCGAGTGAATGAGTGAGTGAGTGAGCGAGTGAACGAGTGAGTGTGTGAGCGAGTGATCAGGTGAGTGAGTGAGCGAGCGAGT